CCTGCCCCTTTCCAAAACTATTAATTGAATTTCCGATTGGAAGCTACACTCTGATTCAAGATCTAGTCATTAGACACTGCCTTAGAAATAGAAGTCTTGATAGCCCCTCTAATAAGAGGTAGAAATTGATTGGTAGCATATTCAATCAAACGGGTGATTTTCTCTCCGACGACGGACACAAATTAATTGGTTCTGTCAAGTTAGCTATATGTTGTATATTGCACCATAAATGCTAGCGTTATCAAAAGTCTCCCGATGATTATCGCGAAGCTTATAACATTTTTTTTTTTTTTTTGTGTTCAATTTTTCTTATATGATAAGTCAAACTAATAGATCATGATTAGTTTTTTTTTTTTATTTAAAATATTCATTATGAATATATTTTTTTTCAGACTATAATTTATTTAATCTATTATTATCAGACTTATTAGCTTATCATTTTGGTGTTATACAATTGATGGTTGGATTAAATATTCATCTATTTTTCAATATGATTTTTTAAAATATATATTGAACGAATATACAGAAAAAGAATATGTTGACACTAAATGTTTCATTGAAAAAGAAAAAAATAAAAAATTATAATTTTAGTGAAAATTGATAGGTGTTTATAGGACGGGTAATCTGTTTATATTAATATAAATTTTTCTTTAATAATTCTGTTTATTATTTATTTAGAATATAGCATTTTAATTATTATATATATATATATATATTATTGATTATTTTCCAAATTTCGGGATACAAAAACTAACAATGGCGAAAGAGTGAGTACTGAACCTGCAGAAATTATATGGAGTTATTGGATGACTCCTCTATCTATAACTTGATGTGCTGACACATGTTCAATGTGTATATATTGTAGGACACATGTCAATATACCATTTGTGAATATTGTGGGTGACTCCATATGCTGAGTCATCCGATGACTCTATCGCAAAATTGACTTAACGTCAGACTATTGAGTACCAAACTAAACAGTTTTGCTATGAAGCCATCGAATGGCTCGACTTATGGAGTCATCCACATTTATTCACTAATAGTATATTGACATAAATACAATTCAGACAAGTGTCAATACATTAAGTGGTGGATGAATAAGAAAATAATCCGATGGCTCCGACACTTTTGCCACCATAAAAAAGTGCCCTTATCAACACTCTTATCCTCACAACAGAACCCAAAAAAGCAAAAACAATGTCGGTGTCTGCCCTATTCGGTTCGAGACTGGTGGTTCAACCCCCCTCCGCCGCCGTAACCAGGGCTGCACCACAGCCGCGAAGACTGCCGGTGGGAAGCGGCGGCGGTTATGGGCTGGTGATAGAGTGCTCGTCCAGGCCGCAGAAGAAGTCCACGCAGCATCACATGAAGACATGCCCGCGCAAGACCCGGCCCTCCGACATAAAGCGTCGACCCACCGTTTACCCTCCGCTGCCGCCTCTCCCCCCGGAGTGGAGTTTTGCCTCCACCGCCTCCACCGCCACCCCCGTGGCCGAAGCTACACCGGTCCCTGAAAATTCCGAGTAATTTTTGTTAATTGTGCATCATTTTCGTTATGAATATGAAGTGTTTGATGAAATGCCCCAGTGAAATGTCGTTGTTATTTCTTCAGTTTTGGGATTGTGAGAGTGTGTCTGCTTGTTGTATCTGTGTCTGCTGTTGTTTTATTCACTGAGAATGCTGCTGCTACATTTTGGTTGAATGAAATCCTCACTTTCAGTATGTTCTTTTTTATTTTCATCATATTTCCCCCACAAAAATTTAGTGTGTTTCTTTGCCGAATCGGATTATACATATGAATGACTGTAGTTATACTTTGTACAAATTTAGGAGTATGGTTTAATAGAATTATGGTTTCAAAATATTCAGACTTGATAGCAAATAACACATTTTGATTGCACTGCCCCATGTGGCCATGTCTAGAGGTGTGTAAACATGCTAGTTGAGTTAGAGATACTCGAGCTTGTGCATTTATCAAGTCGACAAGCGAGCTGAAGTTCGTTTCCTTATCAATATTAACAAGTCGAACTCGATCCTTAATGTGATGAACTATAGAAAATCACATTAAAATTTGTTTTCGAGGCTTGACAAGCCGGACTAAATTCATAAATGACTCGTTTTGTTTTATACCTCTACTACGCCATTCGAAAGACTCATGTCTCAGGTGGAATTTCACTTAATGACTAGTGTAAGGTTTTATAGTTCTACATTTCAGTTAATTTTAGTCTTCGTATTGAGATGAGAAGAAGGTTTCTTGGAGCACCACTTCAATCGTCTCCAACGCAAAGAAGAACTTCTAATCGTATTCAGGACTGCTCATCCATTGGGCTACTATGACTCTTTTCTTTGGTATCCTTGTTTATCTTAGTAACATTAAATGTATTATTTTTTTTCCAATTTTTGTACTGCTAGTTTCATTGGAAAATAAATAATTATGGGTTGTATTAAGAATTTTCAATTGGATGCATAGTTTTTCAGGCCGGAGCCGAAATGAGTGGGTGATTTTAACCGGGTGACAACATACCTGGTCAAACCCAGTTGTCACCGGTCAACCCACCCAGCCTTGATCCAATCTACCCGGACGACGACATGCCGGGTCAACTCAGTTTGACCCAATCCTCTCTTTTATTTTCTAAATAATTTTTTTTTTCCAAAAAAATTATATGTATATAATATATATTCTATGGTAAATAAGTATTATGAGATACATGACTAAGGGTTTGATGTGCAAAATTGTATATACAAAACATTTAATTTTGTTAATATGTATAATGATAAAATTGTAATATATAATTTATAAAATTTTAAACCTAATTATCCGATTAAACAATTGACCCGACGATTGAACTAGTTACAGGTCTAGACCGGTGCCCAGATCTGATTGAGTGTTATAATCCAACGTATACGAAAGAAAAGTATAATGACCGACGTGATAGCCTAAGGGGAAATTTAGCTTGCCATGAACATAGGATAAATGTAAATTTAGCCTGCCATGAACATAGGAATAAATGTAAATCAGCCAAATTCAAAGTCATTTTTACACGTTCAACCAGAACGATTTACAAGGAGACTTGAAAAGAAAATTAAAGATGGCATGGACATAGCCATCTTAAGTCCAAAACTACAATTAACTTGAAACTATAATTCCTTTATTCACCATAAACCAACTAGTACGGCACAACCAAAAGAGGAGGTGGTGCTCACTAACATGAAACTGGCGATTACGAAAAAACAGAATGTAAACATAGTGAAAGGAGCTTCCAAGACATCATGATTTTGGCTTGTTTCAAGGCGATTGATCCCCTTTGAAAAATCATGGCCAGCATATGAAGTCGAATATTGTCACAATCTCGATAATCCTCCAATGCGAAAGCAATGCACGATATACACTGCAAGATTTCCCCTTCGAACATTCATTTTTCTTAAGCAAATGACGTCTTCTGCAGCACGCGACTGGTTTAGAGAGGCCTTTATTAACCTCTTTCTATTTGCTGTTAGCCAGACTCAGAAGGAAATCAGTAAAAATGTGCTCATATTCTGGCATTTTTCCATATCCTGAAAATGGTAAACAAACTATATTTTGTCAGCAGTTTCCAGATTAACTCTAGGGTAGATATATTCCAAAAATCGGCTGTATGGTTTACCTGGAAAATAATTTATATCAATCACATAATATTGGTCCTGTGTGCCATGCTCTCGGATTATATCCAGGTTGAACAACCGAAGACCCTACCAGAAGAGCACCTAATCAATAAATGTTACAGAAACTCGACTAAAATGAAAAAACAAAAAAATTACGTGGATGAACAGTGTACCAGTCGCCTCCTCAGTGCCTTGGCCAGTCTCTCGAGTAATGGCCGTGGAGGAAGTTCTGCAAGAAATGTGGCTCATTAGATGATAAATAGTCTCACATGTTAGCACACACACTCCCCAAAAGGCTGATTGTAAACCATGATAAAGTCGGAAGATAGAAAGATGCTAACTAAATCAGTAGCAACACCGAAGGATCAATTACAAATAATTACCCAATGGTTCGGCTTAAATGTCAAAAGGAATAAACAATCTCTTAATTACAAATAGCCTCGTGAGATTAGTGGCTATTCTACAATAACCCATCACAATTTGTAAATTGAGCTGGGCAAACTGAAAAAAGAAGTGACATTGTAAATAGGTTGGACTCAAAAGACAGTATTACCAAGTGTCCCCAAAATCAAATGGTCCATAGTCAGTGCCTTAGTCACAACTCACAACCATATAACGAGCCTGAAAGAGAACTCGTTTGACAAAATTAAAACTGGATAAATCTCAAGTCTATCAAGTAGAACTCACCACCAACGCAAGGATCGAGATCTGCCTCATCAGCAGATGCAGCAGAACAAGACACTCTCGGAAAACGATAAACACCAGCAGTCTTTGACAATTCACGCTTGCTCACATCAGGCAACGAAAAACGGCGGACAACCTTTATTGCCTCCCCTACAATATAAACCTTGAACAGCACGCCTCCTACAATTAAAAGTTAATTAAATAGCGAATTAAACTTATTTTGGGTTCCTCCATGCAGAACATTATAAAGTTACTGAAGAAAACCGTGTGAACTACACACACACACACACAAACACACTAATTCTCACCGTGATTAATGAATTCTTGCAAAACTAGTGGGGGTTCGAGCTTCTGTAGGGAGAATTCGTCATAGGCAAGAGACAGCTCATGTGACTTCGCGACCAAAGGCTTTGCCACTGAATTACATATATTCAGTCAAATATGGCCAAAAAAAACATTGAACTACTAAAGTTGAGTACATAGATTTGAATTGAATTCTCAAACAAAAGAGGAGAACATCCAAAAAAGAAATGAACGCTTCCAGAACAGCTTATTTCTTTGCATTAAAAGCATACTAAATATACTGATAGTTGGAAGTGTACATAGAAGATATACCAATCGGTAGTCTCAGCCCAGCCTTGTTAACCGCCCCAGGAATTGATGATGGATCTTTCTTGATGACCAACTGTTTAGGGACACTGACTTTTCCTGAACATCATATGCATTTGAAACCCTTAATTTCATTTATATGTGTTATAACTGTACATTTTTTGATGTAGTCAACAAAATAAATGACGTGTTTGTATTGCTGGAAGAGAGCAGGTAAATATGTAATTAGACCTCAAACGTAATAAAACCTCATTCTTGTCTTACCCACATAAAACAAATAAACATTGTGAACTGTAGTACTCAACTGTAAACGAAAGTTCCACAAAGGCCTAATACTCAAAGGCTTAAATATATAAGAAAATTACCATAATTATCTGACAGATTCAGGTCAGCAACATCTTGGAGCATAGATTGACGATTGTACACTTGCTGTATAGCATCAGGAGGATCAAGAACTGTTACTTCTGGATGTGCTTTCCGGTAATCCTATGAAGAAAGAGATAAAAATAAATTATAAAATGACAACAAATTAAGCACGTTCAATCTTCAGCGAAGCAGAGCTGAACGGTTTCCACTTCCACAAGAAAAGAGAAGGAAATAAAAAGAAAAATATCATGAAGTAAGATAGCAAGTAATGAAATTTTAAGTGTGCCTGCTTGTTTCAGACATAATATAAGTTAATAAACTATTGAGGGGATTAATGGATGAAAACATTGAGTCTTGGATTTTGCAGACAATTTATATAGAAAATGGTTTGCTCCAAGGATTATATCTATCGACATAGTACATTTATCACTTTTTTGAAAATTTGAACTGATTCGACCTTTGGTGTGGGAACAACAGCAAGACCACAAATAGAATACTGAGTCCTGATTCCTGTAGCATCACTCAAGAGAGATAGGCTGTTTAGCTTCCACATCTCCTAAATTATTGTGTACAATTTCTCAAACACATAGTATAATAGTCAAATCATGTTTTCTTCGTTACTACAACAAGTGAGCATGGCCCAAGAGTTAGCAGTCAGGACATAATGCTCAAGACATTTGCTTCATCCTAACTGATTAATTATTGTAACAGTGATATGAATTAAAACATTTGTTTTAGGTAAAATGAAGGAAAACATTTTCAGCAAGAACCTGTCTTTTCAATAACAGTGGTAGAACAACCATTTGTTGGAATGGTACACAGTTTTTAGAGAAGATGGTCTTTTAGTATTGACTAAACTCAATGCATAAACTATAAACTGACTGCGTACGCCTATGGAAATAAAGAATACTGAAGCTAAAATTAACTAAACTAAGGATCACAAAATATCAGCAAGTTCGTAATTTTCTAATTTTTTTCTCGGACACAAGATGTTTAGCATTAAGGGTTTCATCGCATCATGAAACTAAAGGAAGTCTTTGTTTCATGCCTCAATTTCTTTAAGGACCAATGTGTTGCATTCACAATCTCTTCTTTTCCCTTCTTGTTGTCTCTGTACATAAACCTTATATTGCACACATGCACGTTGTACAGTAATGCGGAAAATTATAAACTTAGAGAAGGAATCAAACGGCTTCAAGAATAAAATATTGAACTTTAATCTCTCCAAGCTATTGTGTAAGTTCTAAATTAATCTTCTAATGATGAATATAACATGGATATCCATTCTGAACGATCCAATAAATCTGATCAACATGATCGGACAGCTTAAATATTAGCAAGAACGGAAAAGAAACAAAACTACCAGGAAAAAAACCACACAAGCCTAAAAAGACAAAACATGCTAATCGGTAATCACTCTGCCACTTGATCGGGTAAAATGGTGGCAGTCCCACTAAGATGAAACCACGACCCTCTCTGAAATCGAAAACCCCAAGAATCAACTTAAAAGTTCATGCCTTGAAAACATCAGCTTGGGTGGGAACTTAATGCTTAAAGATCAATCATGAACATATGAGAGCAAAGACTGCAAATAATGTTCTGCTATCCAAGTATCAAATTAGACTCTCAAGTATCAATAAAATAAGGTCAGTGAAACTGTTTTGCCGTAGTTATAAACATTAAAACAAACCTCAAGTACTCTCCGCCATTCCTTTCCAGATAACTGCAAGATACATACAAGTTCATTGTTATTAATATGTAGAAAAAGGTCCAAAAAAGCAAATGTTCTGAATTAACATATAGATAAACGGTAAGAGAAAGCACGATCAACTCACTTTGTGGAGCAGAATGTCGAAAGGGCCTTGATCTGAAAGGGGTCTGTTTTGATCAATAGGTACGAACAGAATTCCCTTATTCCTGCAGCACATTAGTTTCAGCAGTCATTATTTCGTTTCTAAAGGTTAAACATTCATTATGTTATGAAGACATCTGCCACACAGGAAAATATAAGAAAGCAGCAGTCATAATTCTGTTTCTAGAAGCAAAATTCTCAATATGCCATGAATAAAGCCTCTCCATCAGAAAAGAAAAAATAAAAAAAATAATAAAAAAAAAGTGTGCCCATGTATACAAATAATTAGTTTAGACAATGATATTAACTCCCAAAGCAAGGTCATTTAGGCTATTGAAATCCTTTTGGAGCAATTGTAGGTAACAAATAATTAATTTTTATATTTTTATTTTTTAAAGTGAAGACTATGACAGCTAACAACTCCAAAGCAAATTATAAAATCTATCAAAAAAAGATCCACAAGTGATAAACTGATAAGCTCAAACTGCCACCTCAAATAAAAAAACACAAACAATACAGAACAACATAGAAGTACCCAGACAAAAACAATGGAAAATGACAAGGAAATATAATAATTGCCGAAATTTCTTAGCAATTGGGACAAACTGTGTTAAACTACAAAAATCTTTCTGCAGTTTTGCCGTATCTAGGTGTTCTATCGGTTTTGCTATGAAGACAACAGTTGGTTCCATAGTAGAGCAAACCTTCTATATACAAATAGTAAACCGACCATATTCGTTGATTACTTAAAACATATAAGATGGGCTATTCAATTTATAAATATTCATAAACATTGTATTAAGATCCAAAACACTAGAAATTACAATCCCAAACGGAAACTCCACTTATAATCAGTTGCCTGAAAGAGAAAGTTAATTGATTTGCAATAATTACAAAAAAAAACATCAAATAAATCGAAACTACAATCACTCACACACACACACACACACACACA